TCGCTTTTTAATAATATAACAGTACTAATATTATTATCACTATTATAATTTTTTTTAAAGTTATATTTAATGGCTCATACTATGTGCAGTGTGAGGACCAAACCAAATCTCCAGGTGCTCTTTTGAGAACCAGGCTGAAAAACTTATGTGCACCCCTGTGTATGAGCAATGATAAACAAACTACAGCTCTCGGCTGAATAAAAGAAGCCAGTGTCACACTAGTAGCCTAAAGTTTTGATGGACGACGATTGTAATCAAGGTAAAGATGATTACAGTGACATATAGGATCGTGCATTAGGTGTGCATTGTGTCCGTTATAACTGATGCGCAAACAAACCGTGTATGTGCGCTCTCAGCGCACTGATCACTATAACATCAAAATTCTGCTTGAACACAGCTCAGTATATTCACGTAGGTTAATACAACGAGTGATTTATAACGGATTCTTGCGTGTTTTGGAGAAGTTTGTGAGGATCAGTGGTATTTACATATGGGCATCAGACGCTCCAAACAGCTTGTTCTGACAGAGAAACTCACTGTGGTGTCGAGCCGCCTTCAGATCCCTGAGTTCAGAATGGTTTCATTTTTCATTTGTATTTTGGTGTGTTTAGTGATTCTGAATGGACCCGTATAGTAGTTTATATACAGCCCTTTGGCATCTCCCTGTGGTATTGTTTGGTATGGCAGGTTGACTTGTAGGGCTTATAGGCCTAAATGTTAAAATTACTGTATAATTGAGCTTTACATAATTTTAAGTTGTGTAGAATATCTGCAGTGACATTTTTGCAAAGTATGTTTGCAAAAAAAGAACATGGAATGTTTAAATTTATCTTGAATTTGTTTTGTTAAAAAAAATTAATGTAATTGAAAAGTAATAACAAATACAAAAGTTTTAGTGAATAGAAAAGTTTAGGCTTGCAGTATTGTTTTGGAGAGGAGGGGGTCTTGGAGTAAAAAAGGTTGAGAACCACTGCTTTAGGTAAATGCAGGCACAGTTCTACAGGGGTACTAAGAATTGGACATTATTATATTATTATTTTAATTAAAATTTAAATTAATGCAATATAAAGATACATCCCAAAAAGCTTTTTTATTTATTTATTTTATATGTATTTTATTATTGATTTATTTTTCACTTGGTAGATCTCGGTGAGTTTCTCATTTGAAAATTCACATTCGAAGACCCCTGCCCTAATCACTTCGAAGGGTTTGCCCTCCAGAGTGAGAGCTTTGAAGAGATGAAGGGTGCAGGGGACCAAAAAATGTTGCATGGAATGCACTTCTGTGTCATCTTTCCAAGCCAGTTCAGCAGGGTCTGTCGTCACCCAAAAATGAAAATTCTGTCATTAATTACTCACCATCGTTCCAAATTTCTTCATCATCTTCAGAACACAAATTAAGATATTTTTGATGAAATCCGAGAGCTTTCTGACCCACCATAGACAGCAATGCAACTCACACGTTCAAGGCCCAGAAAAGTAGTAAGGACATCAATAGTCCATGTGACATCAGTGGTGAAAACAAAAATAATGACTTTATTCAACAATTCTTCTCTTCTGTGTCAGTCAACACGCGTTCACAAGAGTAACATAACGCATAAGTGTGGTGCTGCTAATGCAGGTGCCAGCATTCTGACGTAGAACCCAGATGCGCTGCGCCTTGTTTACGAGCAGAGGAGTGCACACGCATGCGTCGTGGTACTGTTGTGAACACGCGTCGAAGTCTGACACAGAAGAGAAGAAATTGTTGAAAAAAGTCATTTTTTTTGTTTTCTTTGCACACAAAAAGTATTCTCATAGCTTTATAAAATTACGGTTGAACCACTGATGTCACATAAACTATTTTAACGATGTCCTTACTACCTTTCCGTGCTTTGAACGTGTCAGTTGCGTTGCTGTGCAGGGTCTGAAAGCTCTCGGATTTCATCAAAAATATCTTCATTTGTGTTTTGAAGATGAATGAAGGTCTTATGTGTTTGGAACGACATGAGGGTGAGTAATTAATGACAGAATTTTCATTATTGGGTGAACTTTCCCTTAAAACCTGCGCAAAGAATGTCCATCATCTAAGCTTCCATCAGACATACCCTTTAAAATCATTAGTTCTGAAGGGCCCTTTGAAGTGGCCAGTTTTGAGTACTGCAGTTTGGAACAACCTTTCAATATGGCAGCCATGATTTATCCCGTTTATAACGCAAGGACACTCTCTTTTTTTCATACGCAATTAGCATCATCTTGTGACTCAGAATGTAGAGAAAATGACTCATTTGCTGTATCCCAGTATGCCTACTTATACTATGCCCTAAAAGTATACATACTTTGAAATGTGTAGCATTGTGTCACTGCCCTGTCAATCATGACCAAACGTATCATTGTGAAACTTCACAGTGTTGTTATAGATGAAATATAACGCAGATAGCATTAAATATTTTTGTCATTATGATTATTTTTATTATGTACAATAAACTTACTTACTTACTACTTACATCACCATGCTTGTAGTTTTTTATTTATTTTATTTTATTTTTTTGTTTGTAGTTCCCATTAATTCATGCAATGGAATGATCACAACGATTTGGGACACACTAAATCTAATTTAAAATATTATTTACGACAAATAGTATGCTGATGCAGCACATTACTTCAAAATTTCTGCTACTTATTCAAAATCAAAGATTAGTTAAGGTTTCAAAGCTTCATGAAGCATTGTTTAGAAAGTAACCATCACTAGGTGCAGTGTTTGTCTTTTTGCTAGGCCTTGTTGTCTTGTACATTTTAATGGACTCAAGATAATATACAGGTGAAATTATAACTCAAATCATTATTTTATGTCCAGTTGTACAGGAGTCTTTGCATAAATTGCAAGCTGAGGGCCACATTTTTGTCTATACCTTTATGGCAACATCTGTTGTTTAGCATGAAGGAATCCAAATAGAGAGCAAGTGAGAAGCCACAAGCTATGACTGATGCTTTAAAACGTGCAAATGTCATAGATTCCCGGGACACAGGGCACATTGGTCTCATTATGTCAGTAGCCTGGAGCATGCTAGAGAGAGTCAGCAAATGTGGAGGGCTGATAACTCAGAATGGCTACATGAACAATGAATGAAACCCACAAACCTATGGCTCCTTTCTGACCCTTTTTGGACATCTGGGGACTCTCAGTGGGCATAAAGATCTCCAAGCACTACAAACAGATGTAGATTTGCAGCTTTGAAGGTTGTTTTATTGATTTATTGTAATTTAGTAACAATTTAGGATGGTTTCACTTCTCCCACCAACTACTGTGAAAGCTTTGATCTGTTGTCATATCAGTTCTATTATTCAAAAGAGCAATCAAAACGGAGATAATTAATCATTTACTTTGCATGGGGAGCAACAGAAGCTGATAAATCAAGCTGAAAAATCCAGAAAACTGTTCCAAAAACCACCCAGACAACCTTAAGCTGGTAGCCGGTTTGTTGCTGGTCAAAAATGGTTTACCAGTTAATGCTTAGATAGAACATACCATATCCTTAACTATATTACGAGGTGGCGATTTGAATATGTACAATGTGAATCATACAAAAATATATGCTTTTTAGAGGGTCCAACCCCTAAACTGTCAATGGGGTGTACCAATCTGCCAAAATGTAAAATAGTTCATGTTGGGAATTTTCAGCAGGGAAATAGAAGCAGTTCAGTGTTTTACAGCTAAAGGTTGTGTTATTCAGCTCACGCAGACATTCAAAGTAATTTACTGATCGTAGATTAAGATTACACATGATATCACGATGATGTGAATGTGGTGAATGATTAATTGAACCTTTGAGATATAGAAGTTGCCAATGCTTCAGAAGTTTTATAGAACAGAGATTTTCTGAGGTTTGGAGATCCTCGGGGATGCACAAAGGGGGTTTGTGGAAAATCTGGAGAAAAAAAAATATACATTTACTGTAATTTAATTTAAATGTCACTTTCTTGTTAAGATGAATCACCATCATTTTATTACTATTCTTTTTTAATATAACTATAATTATATTTTATTTCATAATTCAATTTTAACTTTATTTTTAAACTATATTTTAGGCTATAAAAGTAAAAAAAATTGTAAATAAAATAAAATAAATAAATGTTATCTCTCTGTCCTCCAAATGTGCATTCTTTCAAGAACAGTTTTAATTTGGCGTATTGTTCTTGCTTCTGAAGAATATTTAGCCTACTGTGAAAAGCGCTATACAGGTACATTTTAAAGTATATAAATTAAAACTTTGGGGAAGTCGTGACCTGATGGTTAGAGAGGCGGACTCGTAACCCAACGGTTGCAGGTTCGAGTCTTGTACCGGCAGGGATTGTAGGTGGGGGGAGTGAATGTACAGTGCTCTCTTCCACCTTCAATACCACGACTGAGGTGCCCTTGAGCAAGGCACTGAACCATCAACTGCTCCCCGGGTGCGGCAGCAAAAAATGACTGCTCTGTCTGTCTGTCTGTCTGTCTGTCTGTCTGTCTGTCTGTCTGTCTGTCTGTCTGTGTGTGTGTGTGTGTGTGTGTGTGTGTGTGTGTGATAAATGCAGAGCACTAATTCCGAGTATGGGTCACCATACTTGGCCACATGTCACTTCACTTCACTTAAAATGTTCCTCTTCTGGTTCATACCGGCTACATAGTACACTGTCAATTTAAGTATAGTTTTTAGGAGATTAATAATTTTTGTTTTTAGTATAATGAAAATATAAAAGCTAATCATTTAATTAAAAAAAAGCATGTTGTCTTTTTACAATATTATAAAGTTTTTCACACAGTACAAATGTAGGCTATTTTATCCATGACAATATACTGCTTCAAGAAAGCCTCTCTCAAGGGACCATATAAAAAAAAGTTCGAAAAGCCCTTTTGTAGACATTATAACAGAATGCAAGTTTGAGTGTGTGCTAGCATGTGTTAGTCCGTCCTCTATCAAGGTGCCCTCGCTCGCTCTGTATTTTAATGCCCTCCAGTCAGGTTTTCGCCGATGACTGGCGCGGAACCCGGAAGAAAGAGGGACGAATATGAGCAATCAGTTCACAGCGTCTGACAAATCCGCTTCTGTTCAGACCCTGGCGGACTCATCTTCCTCCGCGCTCTGTTTCTGTCTCGCCTAACTAAAACATCGCAGTGACTTTTAGAAAAATGAATGTATTTCACCGGCAAAGACTCCGTAAACACACGGTTGTCTTGGTGCTCGTGTTGAGCGCCGCTCGCTGCTGTCAAGCGTTCAACTTGGATGTGAGGTCTCCAGTCGTCAAAGAGGGAAAAACAGCTGGCAGTTTGTTTGGACTTTCTGTTGCACTACACGAGCAGGTCGTAGGAGAGAAAAGACACCTGTAAGTATATTTTAAATGTATTATTATTACCTGACCCCAGGTGAAATCACGAGAAGGACAAGATCTTCTCACGTTAGTGCACCTGTTGAGCGTTTTACCTCGATGTTTTATAATGCAGTTACTTTTTTACAGGCTACTTTTTATATGGGTCAGTGACGCCTATTTCTTGTCCTTTTTTGTACAAGAATACATCTCGAATGCAATTCATATTACCTGAATGCATGGTTTTCTATGATGAGCACGTTTTCATTTATTGAATTGAAAGTCATTTTTATAAGTTTAAAGTGTAAAAAAAAGAAAAATAAGGTGGTGTAATTGTTCAGAGCTTTTTACGCAATTAAATCAAAGATTATCCAAGAATTTCATTTTATTTGTTCATTAATTATTATTATTATTATTATTATAAACAAAGCATACTTTAAAACAATCTATCCAAGTCAGTTGTAACCATCATGCAGGATGCCATTTTGTTGTCTTGTGACCAGAAAAGCTTCCAAAGTACACCTTTAAACCGTCATCATGACTTGTGTCAAGGTTTTCTTTCAAATATGAGATATTTGAACCTTTTTGAATTAAATTTCACAGTAGGCGATTGTAGAAAATCGAAGAAAATGAATATTCATGACTCAAAAATCATAATATTTGTAAAAAATAAAATGTTATGTTTTATATAAATATGTTGTTAATAATTAAAGTGTGCAAGAAAAGTATTTTAAAGTTAATAAATTCGATTTTTTTTTTAGAAACTTGTGTGACCTAAAATGCACATCGTGGTAGCATCTAAAACAACTAATATTACTTAGTAGTAATTAATTAACCTGACTTTATTAGGCCACACAATAATGGCAGTAATATTATTACTACTACAGTGTAAGCTGCACACCTTATTTTTTTTTCTCTTTCTTGTGACTTTGTGATATGAAGATATGAATTTGTGATATGAATTTGTCATTGTTCATGTCTTTTGATTGAAATTTTTGAAATGCTTTCATCATTTTCTTGTTTCCATTTCACAAGAGGATATGAGACCGTGATAAGGCCGCCCGTTACTGTGACTTAGGGCTGGGCAGGTCATGCACCCGCTTGTCTAATGTTTTATAACCATTATTTGTTGCTACAACAAATGTCGCCGCCTTTCTTCTCAAATACTGTTTGCTCAAATTTAGATTTTTGAACTCATATTGTGAGATTTAATACCAAAAGTGATGAATAAAAGTCCTAATGGATACAGCTGGCCAAAGAGTCAGGAACAATAGCTGTGAAATGGGCATAGAAACTGAATAAACAAAGCACAATAACTAGTGTTCCTTAAGGCCTTCTGAGCTGTACACATTGACCACTTACCCCCTACCGCAGTGAAATATCTCTATAAACCAACTGATCATTAACAATAGTCTGTAAGTCCCTCTGAGACCCATTTGCTCCTGACTGAAGCAGTAGATTGCGCTTTGTAGTTCTTATTTATGATTCTCACTAAATGAATTGGAGCTTATGAGTGCCGTGAGACCTGTATCACCAGCCTCATAAGGCAAAAACAAATACAGAGTAAGTCACTAGTATGCAAGAAGACTGAGTTCAACAACAATATCATATTATCTGCCGTCTAACACCTATATATTAATTTTATAGTGGGACATAAAATCCTTTTCACAGATCCTCAGTGGGAGCAGTAGAAAAAACACCAGCTTTGCAGAAAATCGTGAGTTTGCAGGATAGCGCAGGTAGATACTGGTTTGCACACGATGCTTTTTTTCATCTCCCCAGGAAATTAGAATTCCACAGATTTCACAATGAAAGCCAGCCACGTAACTGCATTGACTCACGCAGGCTGTTTTCTTCGATTACGGATGGATATAATGCCCTTCACAACAAACAGCCCAACTTTAATTGAGAAATAGCATTTGAGCATATAACCAATAAATATGACAATAACAGCGCTTTCTGAGTGCTCAAAATAGTTGGTGCTTTGTGGCTTTTATTTAAAACTGAGGTACTGCTGAAGCATGATAATTGTTGACAGCTATACGGTGCCGTAATAGAACACCCTGACTTTTCAGTGCAGTTGTCAGCATATGATGGACCCACAAGGTAGCATTTAAAAAACCACAACACATTACAGCCTTATATATACTGTATATGTGTGTAAAGGCCTAAAGCTATATACACAATGAAATCTGTCTATGACATGTTTCATGTGTCATTTCTGCAAGCACAATGGAGATAATGAAATTGTATTTGATTTGATTTGATAATACTTTGATTTGACTATATTAGATACACTGCAGACATAGAATGGATGAAGTATGCATAAAGCAGACTAAATGAATCATAAGGCATGTCTCTTCATTGTTAACAGATGCAGGAAACTATACCACAAGAGAGCAGGGGTGTCTGGTCTTGCCCATTTCTCTTTTTGGTCTGTGAATGCTATGCTCTGTAAAAAGTGTGGTGTAAATATTTGCTGTTTGTCATATTAAATGCAACTAAGTTCAAACCAAGAAAAAACAGATTCAGTGTTTGCGTCTGCCCTTGTCATTGTCCTAGAGGAGTCGTCCCAAGCTAATGTGAGGCTGTCTGTGTTGCTAAATACATTTTCTGGTGACTCCCTGATTGAACCTCAGAGGAAGAGCACTGCTGTTGTCTGCTTCACTGCATCTTTGTGGTTGTTGGCGATTTAAAAAAAAATATGACGAAAACTCCTAAGTTGTTTAGGAAGCTGCTATGTTTTTGTACTAAGGGTTTAAATTTGTAATTTGCATTTGCTTTGTTCTTTTCATTTTGAGAAAAAATGTCCCTGCTCCTGATTTATGTTTTATGTATGCATAAACCATTCAGAGGTCCTCCTGATCTTATCTGCACCGACAATTTGAGAAACGAGATCAGTCACGATGATATTAATTGGACTGGCTAGACATTCATCATCTTGTCGAAGCCATAAAGGACTGGCTCAGTGGCACACAAGGACGTCCTGTGTTTCTGTGACTTGATCTTTGGTCATTTGTCTCACACACTCTCATAGACTAATAACATGTTTCCTTCCTGTGATGGAGTTAGCTAGAGCTGCAGAAGTGGTTCTTTACTGCTGCTGACGTGCTGAAGGTTCTTAGATCCTCATGACCACAGACAACTTCTCATCATGCTTAAATTCTCTGCAAAGCCGCAAGATGAAATTCTCACGACTGAGATCCAGTTACCGGCTGAACAACTGCAGCAAATGTTTAAAGGGGTCGTATGATGCGATTTCTATTTTTCCTTTCTCTTTGGAGTGTTACAAGCTCTTGGTGCATAAAGAAGATCTGCAAAGTTGCAAAGACTAAAGTCTCAAATAAAATAAAATTTAAATTAAAGTTAAGAGTCAGCCACGCTTACCTAAAACGGCTCGTTCTAACACGCTCCCACATGTCTACGTCACGATGTGGGAAGATTTGCATAACGCCGCCCAAATGTTCACGCAAAGGAAGAACGCAAGCCCTCCGGACACTCCTTCGTCGAATCCGCCGGCCGCGCCATTCTCAAGCCCGCCGCCTCTGCTCACTCTAGCTCTCCGGCCGTTCCTCACTCTAGCCCCCGGCCTCTGCTCACTCTAGGCTGCCGTGTGTGACGCTGTGTTTCGTTGTGGAAGCGAAACTACTTTGTTTGGCCTTCCAAAAATGGACACGACTAGAAATCAGTGGTTAAGTTGTATTTACAACACTGTTCCAGAACACTTCAACCAACCAAATATTCAGATGTGTGCAGCACATATTATGGAGGACTGTTTACTGATCCTGGTAGAGTAGACCACAATGCCGGCTGTTCTGACTCGCAGACGGTAAGTACGTTTTTTTTATATTTAAAGAGTTTTTATATTTTATATATTTAAAGCAAGTTTTTTTGGGCAGTGTAGAGTAGGGCTTGTTGTTTGTCATTTCTCCGATCACAAATGCAGACATGGTTTTATGTTTACGCGGCGCGATGCAACGTGTAAAAAGACAGTATAAGTCATTATAATCCATAATTATGTCCCCACTGGATGCAACAAATGCCTCGTTTATAATGGGTTTTCATGTTTTTGAATCATTGCTTCGGCCTGACAGGGCATCATCACAGTATAGTGAGGGGCGTAACATTTCCGTCACACGCTTGAGGTATTCAGCCAATCACAACGCACTGGATAGCTGGCCAATCAGAGCACACCTCGCTTTTCAGTCCGATGAGCTTTGTAAAAATCAACGCGTTTCAGAAAGGCGGGGCATAGAGGAGAAACAATAATGTACAGTATGTGGAAAATAATGTGTTTTTTAACCTTAAACCGCATTAAACACATTTCGTTACACCAAATACACAAAATAATGTTCTTTTTAGCAACATCATATGACCCCTTTAAAGCCTACGTGGTGATGATGTGAGAAAATACATAGTCAGTGTGGGTGGTGCACAGTGCCATTTTTTGTGTTGGGACTTTTATGTTGCTTAGTTTTCTGTTTACTGTGTTGTTGTTTTTTGTAACAGTATCTGCAAAGTAACGACGCTGAAAGTTCAATGCAAATGGCGATATCGTCTTTTAAAATTATGGCAGTTTAAAGCCTACAAAAATGGCTTGTAGGGACTACAACGAGTTACTTCCTGGTTTTGTGATGTCACAAACCCTAATAAACCCCGCCCTCGGGAACATGCAACAAAGGGTGCCATGCGCTGCTTTGAAGAAGAGGAAGAGTTGTTGCCATGCCATTAAAACTAAGGGTGCACGAAAAAATATATTCATATATTAATCGTGATTCTGTCTTCTAACGATTCTACTGGACTCACAAGTTTCAAAATCAATGGTCTAAAATGTTCTTAATCCTGTTCCTCGCATCCCCTGCTCTGCACACGCTCTGCTCTGCATCTCTCTCTCCCATCAGCTCATCAGCTCCTATAAACTGTGTTCCAATTATACCGACAACATCTGTCTGTATAGACAGACAGATATTTTTCATATAGCTATGAGAAGCGTTAAACATGGGCGCGCAATCCGCGCA